CGTATTTTTAAAAGTTACGCATGCTTAATTTGACACACAATAACATTTTTTAAACAATTAATATAAGAATAACATAAGTAAAGTTGCATCTTTCATTAATGTTTGGTTTCTTACAGCAATCTTGATGTTATCTGGCTGTTTTCTGCTTTCTGCTTATCTCTCTGTCATGTTTTCATCAAGCATATGATGTTTTTTGGTCATCCACTATCTGACGTGATTTCAGTAAGCCTCTGTCGCTTTTTGTGTCATCCACTATCAGACGTGAAAAGTAAGTAAAAATTCCTTCAGCAAGTTCACTCAAAGTTCACATAGGCTGTAATAATCAGAGGTTGGAAGTTGACAATCAACCCCTTCATTGGTAATTAACATGTAGTCTTAATATCAGCAGACTACATCAGCAGTTCCTCATGTAATCATAACAACAGTAATAACAGCAGACTGTGAACACCTGCAGCCTCTCCTACAGTCATAAATCTATAGTAGAACAGTTGAACAAGGCGTGCATAGTCTCAGTGTCTGCAGTCAATGCTCCCACTCAAGGATTTTAACCACAGTGAGCTTGTTACTGCATTCAAGATTACAGTACAGCACTTCTAAGTAAAAACAAGACACATCTAGGTGAAAAGAAAATGATTAAGAAGATTAATGATTAATATAATTTAAAATGATGAATTAAGAATGATTACTTATTGATACTGATTAAAGATAATAAAAATGATTAAGAATGATTATTAATACTGATAACGATAATAAAAATGATTAAGAATGATTATTAATACTGATTAAAGACAAACACTGATGACTGACTTGACTTATGTCTGTTTTGCTGGTCTTTTGTGCTGTGTGCTAGAGACAGGACATTCTTACTGTGATGGACTATATTTATGTATGTTTTTTAACACAATTTTCACTGATTCTGCTTCTACATTTTCCTTTGCTGGTGTTTTTGATGATGCCTTGCTGTGCTCATTCTGATCCCAGAGCACACGTGCCTGCTTACACACACATGTGCTACTGCCTCTGGTCAGTTGGACACAGAGAGGACCACACACACTCAGAGCTATAGAGTCTTAACACTGTGATCTTAACTTTCACTATAAAATAACACTTTAAATGATGACAATGTAAACCACTTCGCTCTAGTAATTAATGATAACTATTTAGGCTAATGCTCTAAAATAATTCTCAACATTATTTATTCCCTCCATCGTGTGCTTTCTGTCTGAGGTATATTTCTTACAACTAACAATTAATGTTTTACTGTACTGTTTTACGTACAATTACAGTTGGATGCTTCCATAATAAAATGTTACCATGTCCTATTATTGGTCATTACTTCTCTTTTCTATTTCCTTCCCTGTTTCTCTCATTGCGTATAGCCTAGGCTAGTTGCCTTCCTCTTATCTCCTGATCCCGTGCTACTGCCATACTGATTTTATTCCATCCAACAACCTTTCCCTCTGTTTTTGAAAGTTTAATTATGATCTCTATGGTTCCTTCATTAACAGCTTGTTTGGCTAGTTTGTCCACTTTCTCATAACCCATAATGACCTTGTGTGCAAAACCCAAATGACAGTGTTTTACTGAGCATATTTGCACTATTTCAAATAGTAGGTCTCTGTGGTTACTGGATGTAAGGAACTAACAGACGGGAACTTTTACCGTCTCTGGGAGGTACTACTACTTAAGAAATACTAATACTAAGAAATGCACTTATACAGGTCACCGGGACATAAAAACTACATGAATAGAATCAGCATTAAAATCTGATAATAGTCGCCGAAAAAGTTTGACAACTTTGCCCCAAAATAAGGTTTAAAAAGCGTTTTTCCCGACCGGTTATACTTCTCCTACGCATGCGTAGTGCAGATAATACGGACCCTTACGTCAGTGGAACCACATGATTGGCTGAATATGATTCCTGCTTTGGCTGTTAAAAGCAGATGATTGGCTTTCTTGCAGGAGGGGCGGTATAACTGCCATCTTTACCGTTACGGGCTTTCCCAACAGAGTTGTATTGAGGATGTGACTGAGTGGCATGTCTCCTCTAAATTGTCTCGTTTCATAAAGATATAACTAGTATCCCTCTGCTGTATCCTATTTGTCTAGATTAGTTGACAACTTGAATTTAAAAATATTTGGAGTCTTCCATACAAGTATTTCCTTAGCAATAAAGTAAGATAGGCTATCATATCCTGCAAGTCCTAATTTATGTTAAAAAAATATAATGATGTTTATTGTTAACTGTGTGCTGCACCAGAAAGCTACATTCCCTAACACCACTAAAATATTGCTTTGACCTGACTTTTGAGTTAATGCAAATTACAAATAATTCGGGTGGGCAGCAAGGGGCAATCTTCTGGTGCGTTGGGGGAAGCCGATACAGTCTAAGGGGGCAGCAACGAAAGGTTACAACCTAATACCATATTACAAATTAGGCCTAACCTTACATGTTAGCAAACTCTGTGAAATGTGTGAATTAATCCGCCATGTGTAAAATTACGTCAACTTGGCAAGTCTTCTACCAAAAATTCAGAGTTTCCGAGTTGTTGTTCTGAATTGAGGGGGCATTCAAATTAATTTTCCTAGTCAGGAACTCAGTTTTCCGATTCCACATGAATGCAGGTCTGGGCCACATGAGGTTGCTTTGGCCGGCGGCTGCCAATTCAACAGGGCTGTTGTAGATTTTCGGTCAGAGGGGGGCCATAGGGGGGGTCCAGGGCCTGTGCTACAGGGGCACTGGCCCCTGTTGACTCCCCCCCAAAAGCTGCCACAGATGCAGGATGTATGCTATGGAACAATGCTTGAAGTGGGCCGGTAGGCACCAGTAAGCAGTCACGACATTTTACTCTTTGGCGTACTGGGATTTCTCCCATGCCGGTACTCTCCTCTGACCTCTCCATATCAGGGCGCTACGTGACGCTCACCTGTTCCCGTTTTCGCCTGCCTGCTAAGCTCAGTCGACAGAGAGAGACGAGGAAGAAGAGAAGCTCGGGTGCCTTTCAAGCAGCCGTGTGCTGAATGTAGCGTGTCAATGTCAGTTTTGGTCAACGGCGAGAGACAACATATCTAACATATCATCATATGTATTTTATCCCGTTAGAATTGAGCCTTGAATTACACATATGATGTTGGTCAATTTGAAATATAATTTTGCAAGTCAAGAGAGTTTGTTGAAAGCAGTTTGTCGTAAAACAGTAAAGTTACATGTTGTTTTGTGTGAAAACCGTTCAACGAACTACATCTCTCGTCTAGCACAATATACGTCACCTACATGTTAGCGCTGTAATGCTAGCTAACATTCGTTGAGAGAGAGAGATCATAGCTTATTACCTGATTCAACATTTCCCTCTTTCTCTTTATGGAGTATAGAGAATGATACACTTCCTCCTAGCCTCACTCAAGTGCTGGTCACATTGATTCCCAAACCTACAAAAAAGACATTTTTATTGATAGCTGGAGACACATTTGTCTGCTAAACAATGATTACAAAATAATGGCGTCAATATTTGCCAGGACAATTAAAGAAACTCTTGACACAATTATAGATGAGACAAAATCAGACTAGTATTAGATATTCTTGACTACTCTGACTTGATATTTGAAGATGGCTTCATCCTCTTCTTAGATTTCTACAAGGCTTTTGATACAATAGAACACCAATTTATTTTTCTGTTTTGGAAAAATTTGGTTTTGGGGATTTTTCTGCAAAGCAATTAAAACCTTATATGCTCTATCAAACTGAAAAACGGAACTTCCCCTAGATTTAATGTGAAACGGGGCATTTGTCAGGGATGCCCGATTTCCCCTTATCTGTTTTTACTTTGTACACAAATTCTCACAGCTCATGTCGGTAACAGTGCTATACAAGGAATTTATATTGTGGGCAGGGATATCCTCATCAGTCAGCTTGCGGACGATACTACAATCTTTTTAAAAAATGCAAGCTAGACACCTGTTGCCATTCAAGTAATTAACCAGTTTTCAGAGGCCTCTGGTCTATGCCTAATATTAATAAATGTGAACTATTGCCTTTAAAAGATTATAATATACAAACTATTTGCAACATTTCGATCAAGGAGGAAGTTACGTACTTAGGTATTATTATCTCTAAAGATCAGAAAATGAGATGTCCTTTAAATTTCTCTCCCGGCTTACACACGCAGCTCTCTCTTTACACTTGGACAGTAAAATTTGTAAAGATATTGATAGAATGCTTTTTGACTTCATCTGGAAAAATCATACCCATTATATCAAAAAAGTGTTATGAATAATGAATGAATCTGGTGGGCTCAACTTTTTGGACTTCAATACTCTAATACTTTTAAGATTAATTGGGCTAAGCATTTTCTTAAAAACCCTGTCTCGATTTGGAGTTTTATTCACCATTATATATTCTCTCGCTTTGGTGGTCTGGGATTTATTCTAAACTGTAACTACAATGTGTTTTTATCAACATTTAACATTCCAGTTACGCCAAGAGAATTAGCAATTGTATTTGACGCCATTCCATCAGGCACAATCATGCTTTTTAGATATACTGGCAGACTTCTACCTACTTCTGCCATCCTCCCCGGTGTGGCTGAATCAACAGGAAAAATCTGTTTTTCCCAACTTCATCAAAATATTAAGAACTTTTGTGCTTTATTTCAGAAAGAAATTGTTTCTATTCCAAATGTTACATTTTACTGGAACCGATTTGTAAATGACATTGCCTGGAAAAAGGTTTGGATGATTCCTCACAGATACCTTAATCTGATCTCTGGCTTGTTTGTATATTGTTATGTATATTTTGTATATTTTGGTAGGTCACTTCTGATATGTATCCCTTTTTTTTTTGCAATACAGATGACTTTTCCCGTCATATGAAGAAATACATTTAGGCTACTCCTTTCTTTCTGAATTGGTGCAGAAAATGTGTCCAGAATGCAGGAAATGAAAGTGTTTCATGCTCAAAGTCGTTAATTGTTATAATATTTAGGTTGTGGATTTGTGCGGGGGGGAGGGGTACCAATGTTTATACACTTCAAGCACTGCTATGGGAGGGAAACGCTAATCGAGAGGGGAACAGACTTCAACTCAGTTTTGTCACAATCAGAAAAAATGGACGATGTTCAGATCTAACGGCTGAAGCTACAAGCTCGTTTAAAACGGTAACGTTATTATTATTTTTTTTTTTTGCAGAACGCTTGTGTGTGTTAATCTTCACTTTCATAGTTTTCACTTCCTGTCCAGCGGCATTGGCGTCGTCAGGTCACTTTTCCTGAAACTTTAGCCCCGAATATAGCCAAACTCAACAACAATATATATATATATTACATGCAATAATCTTTAAGTTCACGTAACGTGACCCCCCACCGTTACTCAGTCTACCTGCATTGAGAGAGAGAAAGCGCATTGTTCACAGCTTCACTACTTCTCAGCGACTACTGAATTGTCCCTAGCAAAACTGTAATGAAAACAGATAGCTATAAATTTTGCCAGTCCGTTTCTAGTCAGTGTATTTACGACACAAGCGGTTAACATTCCGCCACAAAGTTGCGAGCGAATAACACGACACACCTGACCCAGGGGCGTTTCCTGGCTCTAGAAACATTTCTCATTTACTGCTGAGTCAGCACATGTATTTATGACTTAAGTAAAGTCTTTCAATGTGCATGTGGCACCTTTTCACCTCAATGAGAAATTAATTAGTGCTAATTTTAATTCAATTATAAACTCCTGTGTTTCAGCAGGTTTTCTGCTTGGGTTCAAAACTTTCTGCACATTCAGAATCTCCCCCGCATATCTGTGTTCTTTGACATCTGCAATATTTTAACAAAATCTACCTACACCTCTGCTGAGCAGTAGGCTGCCCTGCCTTATTTCTCTGTTGATATGGTAGTAGGCTACCCCCTTCAGACCGTCTGACAGACACGGACCCCGTCTGGGACTGCAGCAAACTTGATGAGACGAGCGCACTGCTCTTCATCAGAGGTGGAAAACTGAAAACACTTGTGGTGTCCGAACAATAATGCTGCGATGATGTGTTGAGAAGAAATCCGCTTGACACTGTTCTTGATCATAAAAGTTTATTACATCAAGGAGTTCAGCATCAATTACAAGCTCTGCAGCAGCTTGGAGAGTGACCCAGCCTGATGGCCACTCTGTCTCTCTGTACATCAAACACAGCTTATATAGGACATGTTTAGGTATCTGTTAGACACCATATAAGGGTCTGAGTCTGCAAACTAAGGCACCGATCCATATAAGGGCACAGTTCTATAGGATAAGTGTAGACATCTGTTAGACACCACATAAGGGTCTGAGTCTCCACCTAACCACTAACCTCTGCTCTCCCGTTAAAAGGTCACTAATCCTCTATCCAGCTGCTACAGTGCTATGTTAAACTGTTATGCGTCAAATGCACATATGTTATACACCACACACTTGAGATCAGAAATAAATCTCACTATTCACACAAAGGTTAATTTCAGCTCCTCTGATAAAGTGCGCTTCAGAGCGAAGCATCCCAGAGCAGAGAGACAAGTCAAACTGCGAGCGAGGAGGACGGAAATAGCAGAGAGAGCGACAGGTGTCTGTGTTGTGGTCAGGTGTTTGTAGGTTATTCTCTCGCTACTTTGTGGACTGTGAAAAGTTTGGGTAGCAAATAAACTGACTAGACACTGACTGACAACATTTAATAAAGATAATTCATTAGTCCCTGACAAGCTCTGAAGCTGTAACCAATGTGCCATCTCCCTCTCCCTCTCTCTCTCTCTCACTTTAAATGCAGGCATGCTGAGCAACGGTGGGGGGGTCAACCTTGCATGAACTTCAAACAAAATGTAACAATGTTATTGCGAATAGCCTCTGTTCTACCAAGACCTGTGAGACGAGCTGCGTAATGAGGATTATTGCATATTAATTGTTGCTGAGTTACATTTGGGACTACAGGCAAAACATCCAGGGCTAAAGCCCCGTGAAAAATGACCTGGCGACCCCCATGACCTGACCGCAACACAGACACCTGTCGCTCTCTTTGCAGCGGGAAGCCAGCAATCACAGATCAAGACTCCGCTGGTCCGCAGCCATAAACACCTCTCTGGGTCTGCATCAATTATCTGTACTGTCTTTCCGCTGCTGTATTTTCATTGTGATGTCTTTATGCTGCTCTTCACCAATATCAAATGTCACTTGTAGATACCTTACTTTACTGATACTGGTATGTTGTTCCTCAAATGTAGGTGGTTTTGGATAAAAGCATATATATATACTGTATATATAATTGTGTAAACTTAGTGATAAAAATGAGAGATCACTTTCCAGTCATGGTAGTAAATCACAAAAACAGCATACATCTTGTCGTGCATAAACTGTCCTATAAAAATAAAAATGTCCTTTTTATTTTCCAGGTGAAGACCACAATGTCGGCGAAGAAGATTATTTCTGAAACACTGAACGATTTGAGTTTTGAGGAACTTGATGAATTCAAGTCACTCATTTGGAATGACTTAAATTTGGAATTGGAGAAAAATTTCCCACTCATCAAATGGAGGCGATTAAAAGTGGCAAATGCACAGGACATAGTGGAGCTGATGGAGACGTACAGCCAAGACTGTGTGAAGCTGACCAAAAAGGTTTTAAAGAAGATGAACCGGACTGATCTGGTGCAGAGATTGTCAGACATGAGTTCAGGAACCAAAAGTAAGGCAAAGAAGAAAAAAAAAATGATAATATATATTTTATCATCAAAAAATAGGAAAGTATTAGCCTGGCATCATATCACTTATGCTTATTTCTGGAGCCTATCCGTTTGATTTCGAAGGGGTTATATCAATGGGCGCAAACCAAAAGGCCTCTAGATGAAATTGGGTAGACCTACAACCAACCAGAGCAACGAAACATGCAATGTAGTGTAGTTGTTCTGTTAAACTTACCAAATCATGTTAGAAGTACAGCAAACACATCTTGTGCAGTTGTTAGTTCTTTGCTGGACGTTCACACGGTGTGTGTTTCAACCAGACACTGCTGCCAGAGCAAATAACCTAAAACATGAGCTCCTACGTTCAGGAAAGTACATCAGCTGGGGTAGAAATGTTTGATCAGATGTTTTAAGTTTGTGCTTAATGCAAAAACAAATACATCCAAAACCATTCAACTATGTTGGAAAATCTTTAAGTAGCTTTACATTATGTCACTGTTAAGGAGGAGTGACATTTTGGAATTAAATCCTTTGTATTTCAAAATCTGATGTTAAATCAGTTATTTTGTATTTCTTTCCCCTTCAGAGAAACACTCTGTGTATGAACAGCAGCCTTCACTGATACAGAGAGTGAGTATTTTGACTGTACACAGTGCAGCTTTGATTCAGTAGAAGCTTGAAAATCATCTTCATCTTGAAGATTATAATTGATGATACAATGATGAAATACAATACAATGATGTCATTTTCCTCAGATAGTTCTCTCAAAGAATTGAACCGATCAAGCTACATAATGTAAATGCGAGGTCTTAAGCATGAATGCTTTTATTTACTAATAATTTTAAGGATGTGTTATATCTACCTTCTATACTGTATCTGTGGGAATATACAGTACATTCTTCTTGATTAGTTTGACAGAGATAGAAATTCACAATATTTTAAAACAGAAAAATAAGTTGGTGTGTTTTGTTACTTTTTATATTAGAAGAAAAGATGCAACAAGTTAAACAGCCACTCTGTTGTCAAATAAAGAGACTCATTGCTGTCTTTGTAGCCCCGTCTTTGAAAGAGTTACAATAGGCAATGTAATGTAGGCAATAGTAAAAGCAAGTTTGTTATTTTATAAAAGTGGACTAAAGGGAAGGGCAGCGTGGTGGTGCAGTAGTTAGCACTGTCTCCTCACAGCAAGAAGGTTGGGGGTTCAAACCCCGATTGCCTTTCTTTGTGGAGTTTGCATATTCCACATGGGTTCTCTCCGGGTGCTCTGACTTCCTCCCACCGTCCAAAGACATGCAGGCTAGGTTAATTCGTGTCTCCAAAATTGTCCTTAGGTGTGAGTGTGAGTGGTTGTTTGTCTATGTGTGGCCCTGCGATGGACTGGCAACCTGTCCAGGGTGGACCCCGCCTTTCGCCCAAAGTAAGTTGGGACTGGCACCAGCCCCCCGCAACTCTGTATGCAGGATAAGCAAATGATGATGGATGGACTTAAGGGAGTAACATTGATGTTAATGAGAAATTTATACATGTACAAGCAGTTTCACAAATATTATCAGCAATATCTTGTGTGAAATGGCTGATGTACTCTGAATACATCCATATTTCTAAACACAGATGATTGAGAAAAATCTGTCATCATTCCAGCTGATTAACTGTACTTTTGCTCCATGAACATTTCCTTTGAATTTTCCAGGTGGAAACGATGGTGTCTGTTATAGAGCTGCTTCTGGAAACACTGACTGATTTAAGTGTCGGGGAGTTTGAGAGGTTCAAATATTTCCTCAATCAAACTGACCTACACAGACACTTCTTAGACATCCCATGCTGGCTGCTTATTATGGGTGACATGCAGGACACAGTGTTTTTAATGGTGCAGATATACGGCCAGCAGTCTGCGGAGAAGATCAAGGAGGTTTTAAAGAGGATGGAGAGGACGGATCTGGTACAGAGGTTGTCAGACACCTGCTCAGGAGCCAAAAGTAAGACAATAAAGACAAAAACGTTAAAAACATGAAACCTAACGTGAAGAAAACAGAAAAGAAGCATCATCTTGTGTCTCCAACAGATTTTGTGATTAATGTAAAGTAAAGAAAATTTTCTGGAGAGGGGCAAAATATCACTGATCAATTACATGTAACTGATAAGGTTTCTGGATAATTCTGTATTGACCCTTTGTATTGTAATTCTTTTTCAATCACCCGTATATATGTCCTGTCTCTCTCCTCAGAAAAACACTCTGTCGATGAACGCCTGTCTTCACTGATCCACAAGGTGAGCAGTGTCATACCTGTCTGACCATGCAGAGTGCTGCTCTTATTAGATGCAGGTTCAAATCATATCAACATTAATGATGTTAAATTAAATCAAACTCATGATTTAAATTGAATGTGTCTCACAGAATTGAAGGTGACATTTGATGGAGTTTGAAAATCTGTTTTTAAAGATTATCAAAGAATTAAACAAAATCCAAAACATGAAATTGAGAAAATATATGCATTGTGCTGCCACCTGTTTCTACAGTTACTTCATCAACAAGATCTGATGTTGAGATGAGTGGCTCATTTAAATTAATTAAATTGAGTTACAACCTGGAAATAACAAACATTAATCAGGTTACAGATATTTAAGGGAAGAAGGAAAAATGAATCCTCCTTACCTCTAACAAACAGAAAATTACCAAATGCATCTGTAGCTTAGGTGATGTTGTAGAAACACAAAACTTAACATTCAAACGTCTAAAATAGCGGCACTGATTAGATGCTAAAAGATAAGTCCTAAATGTTTCCAGTGAAGAAATAACATATTTCCTCTTTGAATTTTGAATTTTTCAGGTGGCAACAATGGCGGCTATTAAACAGCTGCTTTTGGAAACACTCAGATATTTGAGTTACTCGGAGCTGAACAAGTTCAAGTGGTTGCTGCAGTTTGGGTTCTTCCATAGGAGCCTTCCAGACATCTCATGGAAACTGATGCTGATGACAGACAGGACAGACGAACTGGTGGATATGATAATGAAGATGTTCTGTCAACAGTCTGTAGAGGTGACCAAGGAGGTTTTCATGGACATGAACAGGACTGATCTCGTGCAGAGGTTGTCAGAGACCAGCTCAGGACCCAAAGGTAAAATAAAGATAATACTATTTATTTCTATAGCGCTTCTCAGTAAAATCAGTAATTATGTACATATAAAGATACACAGTGAGGGGGCGGCAGTGGTGAAAGGTCTGTATCCTTTGGGCTCTGCGTAGGCACCTCACCCATATCACTGATGCTCGAGAGATGGGTACAAATGATCTTCTGAGCAGTTTTAATCACCCGCTGCAGAGCCCTCCTGGCCTGGGCCGTGCACATCCCATGCCGGTTACTGATGTTTCCAGTCAGGATGCTTTCTGTTGCTCCTTTGTAAAAGCTGACAAGAACTTGGCACGGGAATTTGGCCTTCTTAAGCTTCCTCAAGAAATATAGTAGTTTCTGGGCTTTCTTCCCCAGCGTGGAGATGTGAGATGACCATGTCAGGTTCTCTGTGTTACGGTGGGTGGGGTGGAGGCAGGTTGGAGGACCCAAACGCAGGACGCAAGGCAGAGGAGGAACAGTTGAACGGGGTTTAATACAAACTAAAGGCGAGCACACTTACAAGCAGAGTGGCTGATCAACAGAGTCCAAAAACAGGTTATCCAAACAGGTGAGAATCCAAAATGAGCAGGGAAACAGAGAGACACGACGAGGAAGACAGGCAACAAGACTTAACACTGGGGAATCCACGCACAGAAGGTAACACGAACACCGGACAAGGGCTGAACAGAAAGACCACACATATATACCAGGGATAATGAGCAGGGCGGGAGCAACGCAGGTGACAGACATGAGGCTAACGAGGGAGGCAGAGAGACAGCAGGAAAACAGAGAGGCAGGCAGGCAGAGACAACAGAGAGAGCACTTAGACAAGCAGACATGGGGCAGAGTGAATAACCAAGAATGCGACAGAGCTAAACAGAACCAGTAAAAGAACAAGGGAATACACAAGACTAAACAGGGAACACAAGACCAGGAGTAAACACAAAAGATATTAACTAACGCACAGGACTAGGAACTAACTGAACAAGACTACAGACAAACAGAGAACCAAAAACAGACTTAAACAGGAAAGACATGAACACAAATACCACACTCCTAACACTCTGTGATGCTGATTCCGAGGAACCTGAAACTGTTCACCTGATCCACCTCAGCTCCACTGATGTAGACAAGAGTGTGTGTCTTTATCTCCTTCTTCCTAAAAGTTAAGCAGAAGTTGTTTGCTGTGCACCACTCTGGAAGATTGTCACTTTCCTCCCGATATGAACCCTCGTTGTTTGAAATCCGGCCGATGATGGTGGTGCCGTCCGCAAACTTTATAACAGAGTTCTCTCTGTGTGAACTTGTGGGTGTACAGCATGAACAGGAGGGGGCTGAGCACACAGACCTGGGGGGGCTCCAGTGCAGAAAACTAGAGGGGAGGAAGTGTGTCCGCCAATCTTAACTGACTGGGGTCTGTTTGTGAGGGTGTCTACAGTTGTAGAGCATTGTATTTAAACCCAGAGTGCTGAGTTTGCTGATCAGTTTCATGGTGGAGATTGTGTTGAATGCTGAGCTGAAATCCACAGACAGCGTTCTGATGTAGGTGTTGTTTTTTTCAAGGTGTGTGAGGGCTGAGTGGAGGGCAGTGGATGTGGCATCCTCTGTGGATCTGTTGGTTCTGAAAGCAAACTGGTGAGGGTCCAGGCTGGCTGGGATGTTGTTCTTTATGTGCTGAAGAACCAGTTTCTCAAAGCGCCTGGTCACAGGTGTGGGTGTGGACAGTTTTGGATATATTGAAGTTTATTTAGGGCTTGGAAGATAGAGGACGCTATTGCAGTAGTCAATTCTGGATGTAACGAAGGCATGGATCGAGGTTTCGGCAGCAGAGAAGGTGAGTGATGGATGGAGACAGGTAATGTTTTTGAGGTGAAAGAAGGCAGTCCTGGTGATATGGTTATATGGTTGCTGACAAAGATGACTCCGAGGTTGTGGTTATGTGGGGATGGGGACTTGGTAGAGTTGTTGATGGAGAGACTGAAGTTGTTGGTGTTTTTTGTGAGTGATTTGGTGCCGATGAAACCTGTCAGATTTATTTTAATCGAGTTGGGGGAGGAAGTTTGTTTGCATCCAGGTTTGTATATCGGTGAGGCAATTTGATTTGCAGAGGTAACTGTGGTGCATAATACATTAATGTATAATAATAAATATACATGGTTACAAAGTGCTGTCCCCAACACTTTTTGAAATGGCTGGTTTCGTCCCCAACACTTTTTGAAATGGCTGGTTTCGTCCCCAACACTTTTTGAAAGCATTTGCTAAAAGTTTTCTGAAAATTAGAACAAATTAAGATTCTATGAGAAAGGTTTACATGCCTAATAGGAAAATATTGCAATGTAAATATGGAAGAAACAAATCTACCATGTCCAAAAAAAGTAACTTAGGCCAAAAAAACAAGCTGCTTATTACTGAATTATATTCAAGAATATTTTTATTTTCTGATTTGTCACTGGCCACATGCATTTTGTTTCCCTTCATATCAATAAAGACATTTCCACCATAAATTGGTTCAGAATATGTCTCTAGACTGCAAGAAATTAAGAGTTTAATGCTCAAAATCTTCTGGGGTGGGACCCCAGACCCACAATTGAATAGCTTATTTCATCAATGAATATTTCTTCTAAATAGCATTGAAGTATCTTGTTGTCTTGTTCTCGTGACTCCAATATTATGCATTATCATGTCTTGTGGACTAAGTGTTTCGTCTCACCCCTAATCTGAACCCTTAAATGTTCCCACCACTTTTCAAAAAAATTATCCTTTAGAGGTGAATGTTTTGGACTTTAAAGCAACGATGTTCTGAGGATTAATGAATCTGTTAACTTTGGTCCTTTTTTGTAAATGTTGTGTTTTCCAAGTTCTCTCAACATCTTTTCTTTGAAAACATTCTTCTTTTTTGGGCCACATGTTCTTTGTCTGTAGAATAGCTTTCTCATTGACCATGACTACTTCTTTCACACACCTGAAACTTAAATAATAAAAGACTTTTATTCTCAGGACCTAGTATTATAGTTAGAACAAGTACACAGAAAGGGTACACACAGTGTATTTATTATTACAATAAAAATTTTCATTAAATGCATTGCAGCTGAAGGATCATCTGCTGAAGCCTTTGGTGTGAATACCACAGAGAAAGGTAGGTCTATAATAGATAAAAACACTTAAAACACTAAATAAGATATATGAAAACAACAAATATAATTAATTGAACTAAGAATAAAGTTTCCTCAAAGCCCTATATTTATTTAAATTTACATATCAGTGTATGAACCTTAAACAGTGAGTGTAATAGCAAATCTGATGTCATGTTGACAAGTGTTCATCACGTGAAGTCGAGAAATGATTTTTATGATATTACTATTAAGTAAATGTTCTGTCCATTTTGCAGTGAATCCTTAATATTAGTATTTTTATAGTCTGACAGTGTCTCATTATAAAGCCTGATGTTAAATTAATCATTAACGGGTTTCTATAGTTCCTGTATCAACAGAGAAACACTCTGTGGATGAGCATTGGCCTGCAGTGACTGAAAAAGTGAGTAATCTGTCTGACTTTAAACTAAAACTGAAACTATTCATCCATTAAGTGATTGGTTAACCATATATATATATAAAATAACTATTTTTGGTAATTGATTAATTGAAAATAAAAATATAAACATGGTTGCAATCACCATGAACATTTGCTCTGAATTCACCAGGTAGAAACAATGGCATCTGTTATAGAGCTGCTTCTGGAAACGCTGGCTGATTTGAGTGGAGGGCAGCTCAAGGACTTCATATATTATGTCTTCCTGAGTCAAATTCAGTGTTTCTCAGACATCACATTAATGCTGCTGGAGGCAACAGACATTCAGGTTACAGTGATTTTAATGGTGCAGCTCTATGGCCAACATTCTGTGGAGAAGACCAAGGAGGTTTTAAAGATGATAGAGAGGACTGATCTGGCGCAGAGGTTGTCAGACAGCAGCTCAGGACCCAAAAGTAAGACAAAAACATGTTAAATCATAAAACTGGTCCTTAACATGTGTCTCATAACTTGTGCCATGTCTTATTCTCTTACATGATACATAAATATATACATAGTATAGTGTATATATACATACAGTGTGTATATACTGTATATACTATATGTGCTATGTATGTATGTATATATACAGTGTATAACGTATATAAACTATATCTAATTTAGAGAAGATACACCATCTGGAGTTCAAAATATAATTATAATTATTATATATTTATTATAATATATACATTTACAACGTATATGTCACTGTTGAGGAGGTGTAAGGTTTTTGTGTTCTGTAATATTTAGAAAGCAGTATTGCCTTATAACATTGTTTATTGTCAGATGTTGGATGAATCACTCATTACTTTTACCACTTTCTCCTCAGAGAAACTTTCTGCAGATGAACACCGGTCTGCACTGATCCAGAGAGTAAGTAAAATAAACATTGATCAAACATCTTTTTAGCGTACTTCAAATCATTTTTCAAAGTGTTAAAATAAAAAATACAAAACATGCTCTCCTGCTCTGACTCATTTCAGTGTTTGTGAAAAGAGTTGTAGTTTTTTTGTGTTTTGTGTGTTCAATTTGAAAGAAAATAAGAACACAACAAGTTCACAACAAGTTCACAACATCAATAAAATTTATGTTGTGAACTATAATCAATGCAACAGCAATAACCAAATGGATCA